TTTTTTTTTTTTTTTCCTCTTTTTTTTTTATTTTTTATTCTCTTTCGGGTTTTCCAGAAGAAAGAAAACGAACATACAAGTACCACCACTGGTGACTACTCGGATCAGCAGCAGGATCAGCAGGGATTCGGGAAGGATCATTATAATACACGCTGACTGGCGGTTACCTTACCACCGAAAGCCCACATCACAGGGAAAGCACCACGGACCCAGGAATCGAACCACGAACCGGTCTCTTAAAAACGCCCATAGCATATGGGAAGAGAAACGGGCGTCTGCACCCTTGAAAAGACTCGATACTTCTTTCTTCTTTCTTTCGGTTCTTCTTTTTTTTCCCTTTCTTTCATCTCCCAAAGTCACGCCAGCACTTAGTCCCTTTCTCCACTTGGGTGAAGCGACAAGCTTATGGCTCCCTAGGGACGATAAGCACTACGAAAGGGCGTGATAACATAGAGGGAAAAAGCGGGAAGACACAATTTAAAAAAAGTGAAAAGCAAATTTGAGCGCGAATGCAGGATAGTATCGACAACGTTTGGCGCCTTAAGACCTTGTACAAATGGTTTTTCTTTTTTTCTTCTTTCTTTTTTCTGTTTTTCTTTTTTCTTTCTTTTTTTCGTCTTTCTTTTTTCGTTTTTTTTACGGCCTCGACGTAAGCCTCTTCTAGACGGACAACGAACAGACCAGGTACCAAGGAGATACCAGGGCATCAGTGGGATCGGAGTGTCGGCACAGAGATTCAGTTTTGGTATAAATGGGCAAGGGGCACTGTCAGAGCGACATCAAGCAACAGTGATGTCATCAAGTACGGGATTTACGGTGGCTTGTTCAATCAGACAAGCAGGGATTTCTTTTTTCGTCAGTTCGCAACAGTGTTTTGAAGAGAGATGGATTTCTTCATTGATCTTGACCTGCTGGAGGAGTCCGCAAACAACGAAGAAGTGGTATACTCCCGTCTCTCCCCTATCTGTGTATAACCAATCCTCTCACGAAGAAGAATACGGTATAGCGGCAAGCATGGCTGACCAGGAAGGGCAGAGGGAAACAGTGGCCCACACGTGCGCCTTTTTGCTTACCTTCTACTGCTTGCTTGCTTAGCTCTTTTGGGCTTTGTTGCCATCCTACCCACGCCACCATCATCACTCACGCACCTTCATAAGCACTCAGCAGCAGAAAACACTGATGAAGCTCGTCACGAGCTGTTTATCGTTTCATAGTCTTGCACACCTGCTACCCCGCCATCCACGCAACCCCCACCAATGCACGAGCACCAGGAAGAGCTTGCGCAAAGTTTATCCTATCGCACTGGCAACCAAGCGAAGAATAAAGCCTTCTTAAGCAAAGTGCTAGCTATCTTTTGGATAGTGGTCTTCAGCTTAGCGTTACTACCAAACGCAGTCATTTGTAGCATGGCGGTATGGGCCTGTCAGTCAGAGCAGGTTCTATTAGCACCAACTAAGCAAGCAGCTATGATGATCTACCTAACGATCGGCTATACAACTCTCGTTCTAGTCGCAGCTTACGAACTATGACAACAAGGCCTCACGTAGTAAGAGTAGATCACTTTTTGCATGCGCGCCCTGCTCCCCTCTCCCAAGCATCCCTATGCAAGCTTTTACTACTACGTCGTTGTTGCGCTTCGTCGCTTCCCCCTCTCCTCTTTCCTCGTCTTCTTCTTCCTTCGTCCCCCTTTTTCCTTGTCGATTCATGTTACCTCTGTCTCTTTCACTTTTTCGACAACAAAGGAAGAGTTCTCCCTCTGATGAAGCCGCATGTGGCAAGCGACAGAAAGGCGTCAGGGAAAGTGTCACTCCCTCCTGCGGATTTGTTGATTAGTCCGCCTCGCCTTGAGCGGTATCAGGACTAAGCAACACGATACAAGATCTATTTATTTTTCTTCCCTCTCCTCTCCTAGTCTTGTTGACACTTTGGTACCAGCATCTTTCTGGAGAGAGTGGCTATTGCGAATAATTTTTTTGTCTGAAGATCGAACGGGTTGAGCGGTATTTTTTTCTAAATGAGAGGCAGAGGGCAACAATTTTTTCTAAAGATTGAAGGAGAGAGACATAATATTTTTGAGCGAAATATTTCAACGGGTTTGATATGATTTTTTTTTGTGTTCCCTTTCTTGTCTTCCCATTTTGTGAATGCATGTTCCTCACGATCTGATTGCCGAACTTCCTTAACGTGAGTCTCTGCTTTCGAATGGTCACACTTCTTGTCGGAGTGGGTATGTCGTAATCTCTATACTTGGAGTCATCTTCTGAATGCGTATAAGGATGCTAAATGGATGGGGTTCCGGTAAACTAATGAGGATGGGATGTAAGTGGATGACGCAGGCATTTTTTAGTAAAGTGTGATCTCGTACATTGGTCACGAAATCTCTCGGGTCAATACTCCCACCTTCGTCACTCTTACTTTGTTCAATGCTCACGCTTCGTGTCACACTAAATTGATTATTCTCGGGTGTGTACTCAAGATGAGTGTAAGGATGCTAAACGAGATTACTCTTCTGGCGACTTGAGTAGAAGTGAGTCGGGTATCGTAAAGAAATCTCGTACAGCTCTGATAAAGTTCGTACAGGTGTATACTCACACTATCTGTCCATCGTCATAAATTCGCGCACCCTAACCACGACCAGTACTCATGATAAATACCCCGGTTAAATATCCGCCCATACTTACG